TACATACATACATACATACATACATACATTACATACATACATTACATACATACATTACATACATACATTACATTACATTACATTACATTACATTACATTACATTACATTACATACATACATACATACATTACATACATACATACATACATACATACATACATACATACATACATACATACATACATACATACATACATACATACATACATACATACATACATACATACATACATACATACATACATACATTACATACATACATACATTACATTACATTACATTACATTACATACATACATACATTACATACACATACATACATACATACATACATACATACATACATACATACATACATACATACATACATACATACATACATACATACATACATACATACATACATACATACATACATACATTACATACATACATACATACATACATACATACATACATACATACATACATACATACATACATACATACATACATACATACATACATACATACATACATACATACATACATACATACATACATACATACATACATACATACATACATACATACATACATACATACATACATACATACATACATACATACATACATACATACATACATACATACATACATACATACATACATACATACATACATACATACATACATACATACATACATACATACATACATACATACATACATACATACATACATACATACATACATACATACATACATACATACATACATACATACATACATACATACATACATACATACATACATACATACATACATACATACATACATACATTACATACATACATACATACATACATACATACATACATACATACATACATACATACATACATACATACATACATACATACATACATACATACATACATACATACATACATACATACATACATACATACATACATACATACATACATACATACATACATACATACATACATACATACATACATACATACATACATACATACATACATACATACATACATACATACATACATACATACATACATACATACATACATACATACATACATACATACATACATACATACATACATACATACATACATACATACATACATACATACATACATACATACATACATTACATACATACATACATACATTACATACATACATACATACATACATACATTACATACATACATACATACATACATACATACATACATACATACATACATACATACATACATACATACATACATACATATGTACATGCATGCATACATACGAGAGAGGGAGAGTGGGGAGAGAGAGGCTTGGGGGGATGGGGAGGATGGGAGCAGAGGGAGGGAGAGAGGACGACAGAACACACAAGGGAGACAAGGAAGAGAGGAAGAAGGAGAAAAGGGAGAGGACAATGTTGGCGGACTGAGCCGGAGGCTCTAAAGTTTATGCAGATCTAGGGGATCAAAATCCAAACTCCCTTTCAGTTGTTTCAAAGGGGTCCAAATACGCTTCTTCCCGCTAAAACACCACCAATTTCCTCTGGAGGGGACCTGTGAGCTGCCGTCGTGCCAAACTATGGCCCCCTTGTTGGACCGGGTGCTGCCTCGGGCCATAATCTTGACAACTGAAACTAACATCCTCCCTCACGACCGTGCAGGGCTCAGGCTACCAGTTGTGCCTCAAATCGTGGCACAGCTTCTAGATACTTTTATTTTCAGTTGGGCAACAACAGGAATCAGGAAAATAAGGTCCTACTACGTGTGATCAAAATCTGAAACACGGCCATAAGGGGCCAGCAGTACATTCCAGCCTTGAGACCTTCTTCACCCTGTTTGAGTTGTTTTGCATGAATTCGGCTCCCTTGAGGCAACACTGCAACGTGGTGAGCCTTCCTAAGGAAAATCTGTCCGTTGCCCCATACAGCAACAGTCCCGCCACGCAATTCCCTGACTTCCCTACTCAACCCCGGTCAAAAAGTGCATGGGCTGTGGGCCAAACATTGAAACATGGAGCAACCCCAACACGGGCTGACTGGCAGACGGAAATTGAGAAATTTCCGCCCCGCGCGGGGCTGGGGCAGCACCGGCGGGTGTCTTCCGGAGTTTCCCGTGAAACGGAGGTCGAAGCAGCGGGTTTTCGGGTTGGAACGGGTCCCCTCTCCACATTGGATGGGACGATTTCTGCAGACAAACCCTTGCCCAGCCATAGACTTCTTGCAAGGAATGAGTGGGAGGCGCAGTCCAGCCTTCCTCGCACCAAGAACGAGCAAGAAAAGCCGGTCGTTCGCGTAAGGCGGCCTCCCCGCGACGGACCCCGCCTGTCGCCGCTTTCCCAGCGCGGGCCCTTTCGCCGCCGCCACTGCCTCGGAGCTCCGAGGTGAGACCCAGGAGCTCTTGAGGCCATGTGCCCAGGTGCTTTCCGGGCGGTTGCCTCTTACCAACCTGATACCATGCCATCAAAAAGAGCTACACCATTTGGGAACGACATTTGATGGACCAAAGCAGTTGTGCCTTTTGGTGGACGTCAAAGACTCATAGGCTGTGCCCAGAACGAAACAACGGGAAATGCGCTGAATTCTTGGGTCAGTGGACCATTCCAAAAAGTAATCATGCTGTCGTTGGCAAAACTGACACGCGGAAATGCAGAAGACCTGCCTTCCGCTTGCGAGCTCAGTTAGGGATGGCCTGGCATTGAATCACCCTAGGCCTGGCTCAGTTCTAAAAACTGTTCTTGTGGCGGGGAGCATTAATTGTCAGGTTGGTTTGGAGTAGCGCGATCGAACTGCCAAACAAGCCAACAGCTAACCGGACGGCGACCACGAAGCATTGCCCGCAACCAGTCCTAGTCCATATTGTTGGGTGTGGCTTTGCTTTGTGGAACGGGCCCCTTTTTGGTTGGTGTTCTAAGTTGAAACCAAAAGGAAACCAAGAGCCCGTTTTAAGGGTTCTCCGGATTCTCCTTTAAGGCAAAACCCATCCACCTGAGAAGTTCTACCTTGAACCAGGGCAGCGCAACATCTTGCCCAGGGTGGTTTAAAGGGAAATCAAAAGAAGCATACCCTCCTCTACGGAAAGCGTCTCTTTTCTTAAGTGGGAACTGGGATAAGCCCACGATTCAAGCAGAGGGACCGTCGACATCTTGGGAGTATCATGCTGGCTCGACAGGGGGTGAAAGAATGACCCCTCCGAACCCTGCGATTTCCTTTGAGGGGATCCTTAAGCTCACGTCTAAAACCCCTTACACGATTCCCTAGTCAGAACCAGCAAGATCAGTGTGTTGGATGAATGCATGCAGCCCATGCGTTTTATCGGCAAACAGTTGCACGTCATGTAGACATCTCTGAGCTCGAATCCTCCCCCGGCCTGTTGAGGCCTTGTGATTGCGAGTCTCAAACACGAATTCCTTGTTTTGCAGAGAAAGGCATAGAAAAGCGCAACCTCAGGAAATAGAAAAGCCACTCTGAGAAGGACCTTCGAGGCATCGACCTTTCCTCTGGTGTCTGCGAAGAGCTCGTAGGGAGGATCGAGAAACACCGGCGCCCTCACACCGGGCACGAAGCACGCGGCTGCGAAGCACGGTGTCCCAAAGCGTCCGTGTCGACTCTTCAAATCGTTCTACTTGGCACCTTCCTACAGGAGTCGAATACTTGCGTGGCATCTTTGGGGACTCCGAACCACGTGGCTTCCGATGAAAACAAATCCAAGCCACCAGAGCTGTGTCAGGCAGAAGCCACAATACCGCATTTTGTCCTGTGCTTGAAACCCGAAATGTGTAGAAGCCTGTACCTCAGCTTTTGCCCAACCAAAATACAGTGTGTGTCTGAGTCTTATTGTGCACATCTTCAAATCTATTATAGTTGCAATAGCGATCCCGGAAATCTCTCTATATTGGGATGGTCCCTTTAATTCCCCAGTCGTTTGGGCGGGCATTCAATCCCAGCGAAGCAGCGGCCCGGTCTCTGCCTCTCTGGCTGTGCAAAAAGTTCCGCAAGACTCCTGCCTGGCTCGAGCGCCAAAAGAGTTCGCGACGGCCGAATTCGCGGACTTCCGCCTTGGATAACCCAATCGATCAGAGCGACCCTGGAAAAACAGCCGAAGAAGCCGATCGCCGCCGATCGCCCAGTAAAACCTGACATCCTTTTCGATTCAGAACAGTAGGGATGGACCATTGCTTTAAGGGAGAACCCTCAAACCAAAATCGGTTAAACAAGGGTGGAATCTACTGAACAACTGGGATAAAGTCTGGCAATGTTTGGCATTCCCCCCACACAAAAGTCCAATGCCGTTTTCCGCTGGTCGCCTTGGTTCAGCGATTCATCGCCGAGAACCGGGCCGCAAATCCAACAACTCCTCTGCGCTCTACGGTTGTGGGATTTCGTGTTTTCATCCCCGTTTCTCCGGGTGGCCAAGGGGGCAAACGTAGGGCGAAAGGAGGTTTTGGCAGATTTTGGGTGGCAAAGGGTCCTTCGAGTTGCTTCGGGAACGGCCAATCTACGTTTTTGCTTTAATGTGTGCCGTTCTGATACAAACTTGTTGTCGAGGCGATGTTCGACCAGCACGCCTGTCAACCGTGGGAAACACCTCACGTTGACACAAAGGTTGAAGATCTGATCTGGGCATGTCCCAAGACACAGTACGAACACCTGCAGCGGCGCCCCGCCCCCCTATCACTAACCCCCCAGAATCCGTCTTCTGCCAAGTAATTGCTGTTCCAGAACCCAAGACCCGACTGGGGAACGAACCCACACACACACACACACGTACCAGCAAAATTATCTTTGTGCCTTCTGGTCCAAGATGTTGTCCACAACCGCTACTCCCGTACCACTGCCAATAGGGTCTATGACATGTGTACGTATATATACACATCTTATACGCACCAGTTATACAGTGTTTGATGGTGTGGTTGTACACCCCGTTCCTTGGCGTGGAGACATTTCAGATCATGAACCAGACTGGGGATCGCACCGGCGTCAGCGGCAGGTGGCCACGCACAGCTCGTTACTGGTGAGCCTTCCGGCCTGAGCGACGATTCGACGAGGGTGGGACGGCCGAAAGGGCGGTGAACATGTGTTGCTTGGAAGATGCCCACCGAAAGGTTGCGGTGCGCCACAAGGGGCAAGGGCTACTTTTGGGGCTTCCACACAGCTAGGCCAACCTTCACAGGGAAGTGAACATGAACAACTACTCCGTGTCTTAAAATCGAGGCCACCGGTGCTCGATTTTGCGTCAAAACTTTCAGCTAGCAGTCAACAGCCATGTCCATCGCGTGAGCCTAGGTGGCGGGAAGTGACTAGGACGAACCTTGAGATCCCATCAATGCATGTGTAAAGTGTAAACGATATAATTGTTAACAATACGAGTACTATTCTCCACACCATGGGCAGAACGCCAGGCGGCCACAGCATCTGTTTCTACCGTAGCACAGTCTTCGCAATGCTCCACAGAATTCAAAAAATCAGCTTGCCGCAGGACACTGGATCCCTGCTGGGTTTGAGACTCGCAGAGCTCAACTCCTTAGCGTAGGCCGACATCCAGCAGCCACCAGCTAGGGCGTGGGGAAAGGGCCGCCCGGGCCAATGTGCTCCAGAGCTGGAAGAGGTCCGTCCGACGCGCTGGCAGCGCTCTCGGCTGCGACAGCTGAACCGAAGGTTACCAAGCCATAGCTCTCAATGTGAAACATCTCCACAGATTGATCCTCCTCGAACGCCACCTCGTATAAGACTGTGCACTCCTGGCACTCTGCTCCCTCGAAATTCACTCGAACCGTCCTATGTCCAAACTCTGTTTGCGCAGGGTGGCAAGATGCGGGGCGTCGCAACTAGCATGGAGCCCATGAAAAAGGGGACCGCCAGTGTACAAAGACTTTCCCAGAGGGAAATGTTATATTTGTGATATTTGTGTAGGAGGCTGAAAGGGGCTATCAAGAGCTCAAGCGCAAGCTCCTGCAGGTGGGAGACCTTGGTGAGCTTCTGGTTTTTCCCACCCACAATGACCAGGTCACCCTCACTCAGCTGATCTGCACGTTGGGCTCCCTGGCAGCCTGCAATGCGCTCGAAACATGTCAGAATAGTAACAGAAAGATGGACGAACAACCCAACGCCCAAAGCACCTCCCAGAGACTCAAAACCACACAACGACAGAGGAAACCCCGAAGAACCCTCGCAAACTTCATGCGGCAATCAATCAATGGAGGCAAATGTGGCAGGCGGTGAAGAGGCGTGTCCCGGCAGCAATTTGCCCTTACGCGTGCCCCACCTGGCCCAGGCACTGCCACGCGATGATCCTTGGACACTGTGAAGCGCCCCTGGCGCGTGGTAAGCTCCACCAAGTCGTAGGGCCTCTTGCGGTGCGCCTCGATGCGAGCCACCTTGGCGTCAGTCAGGTCGCGCAGGCGCACACGGTCGCCGATCCTCAGCTTCTCCACGCGCAGCAAGTGGCCGTCCGCTCCCGGCAGGACCGTGTTGGGTGGGAAGCACTTTGCCGATCGGCTGCTCGCATCGCTGATGGACTGTGCATCTGACTGGTCTCCAGTGTTAACAAGAATAAAGGAGTTGGCGGACTGAACATCTGATTGATCTCCAACAAGAGAGGAGGAGTCCGTGATATTGTTGAGGACCGGGGTTGCGCCTGAGGCCAGGTACCCCACATGCTTCAACGATTGCTGGTAAGCCGGACTCTGAACAGTTGCTGTGATGGATTTCAACATTTTTGTTTGGCAACCAGCGGGCCTGGAGCTTCATCTCGAGAATCGCTCGTGTCAGGGTGGATGAAGGCCTCGTCCAACAGAAGTGGCACATCGTGTTTCCGCAGCTGACTCTCACATGTTGGGATACAACTACATGCCCTTGGAGTAGCTGGCCGGGAATAGCGTCTCTATATTGTGCAACCACCAGTATGTCATTCATAACATGATATGTCCGGTTGGTTAGTATCCCAAGGTGTGGCATTTGCCCGGATGGGCCTCGAGCATTTGTTGAAACGAGCTAGCAATGGAACTTAGCTGCGCATATAGAAATATATTGCACACCGTAAATAATGTACCTTTTGAAGACCCCAAAATATCATTATCATTCATTCATTATCAGGTTGCATGTTATCATGAAGTTTAGCTGGCCTTGGGTGCGTGGTCAAATCCTAGCCATGGCCAGCTTCAGGCTCAATGGCACGAAGCGTTGCCCAAACACGGGGTGACAGCTGTTGTTTGAGCCCGTTTCTCGCGGACCTGATAGTCCCTTAAGAATCTATCTTTCGCTCGAAACTCCTCCCACCAGCCCAAAAGTGTACAACTTGCGCAGGGCAAGTGCAAGCCCCTTGGACTGTCATTCCGTTTGAGCCACGAAAAGCCTCATTTGAGTCGCGAAGAAGTATCATTCCCAACCACAACATAGGCCACATACGGCGATTTATTCGTGCTGGGGCGCCAAGACATCGTCGCAATCCTCCTTCAGCTTCAAAATGCGCCGTGCCAGTTCCCCTGACTTCTGCACCTCCGGAGTCAACGCAATCCTCTGAAGGGCCTCGTTCTCACGCTGCAAAGCCTCGACTTTCTTCGTCTCCGCTGCCTTCGCAACTGTCAACTCGTCCAGCTGCTGCTGCAATTTCTGCTTCTCCTGCTGGATCTCCGCCTTCTGCTGCTTCTCCGTCTCAAGCTCCGCCGTGAGCTGGTCGATTCGGGCTTGGAGTTGCGCGTGGGCGGGCGGCGGGCTCTGCAGGCTTCCAACAGGCCCAGGCGGGGAAGCAAGCAGACATCGAAGTACAACTCCAACTGCGGCTCGGGGGTTTCACCAGCCTCTCCTCGCCCGCCTCTCTGAGCTCAAATCTTTCCAGACCATGTTTCAGAACAGAAAAATGGTTCTCCATGGATTTTGCAAAAATGAGGTGGCTGACGTGTTTGTTGGCTTGACAAAAAGGTGATGGATGCTTCAGGGACATGACTTTCTCCACAATGACCCTGCTGTAGGGCCTGGACCGCTTTTTTGAAGAGAAATTCAAGGATCCTCGGGCGGGCGGAAGCGTTCAGCCACTTCAAGCGAAGAAAAGAAGGCATGTTCAGCCATTCTCTTTGTGGCAAGAACCAAAAACTCCCCTTGAAGAGCAGAACCGGCTTCTCAGGATTTTCCCCGCGCCCATGTCGAGAGCACCGAGGCGTTTCTCCCCCGGGTCTTCGGGTGTTCGGGGCTCGGCTTCCGGGCTTCGATTCGCCGGGCGGTCGCCGTCCTGGGACCCCGGGAGCTGAGAGACCCGACGGGCCGGGCGGAAGCTCGCGAGGAACACGGGAAACGCCGGCCGTCTCCAGACCAACAGCTGGTGAGTCTTTGGGACCACTCGCGGCTTGTCTCAACACAAGGGATCTCCCACTGGTGAGTCTGTGGGAGTCTTTGGGAGTCTTTGCTGTGTCCCGGCGGTCCTTTCCCGCTCCAAGACTCCAAGATCGACCTGGGAAGCGGGAGCCGCTGGAGCTCTGACTGCCGCCTGGTGCGGGGGCCCACGAAAACACGAAGCTGTTAAGACTTTCGCCCCAATAATTTAGCCTCAAAAATCGAAATCACCTCAAAACAAGAGAAACCACGGGTCCCCATGTAAGACCAAAATTGCCTCTGGAGTCCCCACGTAAAACCAAAGTGTTGTGCGGGGGGGGAGGTTGTGGTCGGGGGGGCTGCGAAGCTCTATGATGATATTTAAGCTTGGGTACCGGAACTAAAGGGCGATGTCCAAGCCCGATCCGGCATTAAACTGGCTTGCAACCGAAACCAGCCTCCAACCATGCTTTCCAGGGACCCGACCATTTCCAGCAACACGAAACCGCTAGACAACCATATTTGTGTGCAAAGAAGCTGGAAGGAATGAGTGTGGCTGGAAACTCTTGGTTGGATCAGAATGGGGACGGACGTTCCCCCTCATGAATCTTTCCAGAAAAACACCAAAGCCGACCCAAGGCCAGTGTTCATTTTCAAAAGAGCAACGGTTGCAAAGGATGCAAGAGGTATCCAGCTATTCCGGCTCGGCCCAAAATCTCTCGGTAGTCTCATCAGGAGGGCTCTTCGTTTCAAAGGGAAACCGCGGAAACTTTTTTTGGGGGTCGTGACCACACAAATACCCGCTCACGAGAAAATCCCGCCGGGCCAGGATCCAGGATCCAGCATGCCCCTTACCCTGTATATACCCCTAAAGTGGGTTGGAAACCAGGGGTTGGCCGACGGGTACTTCCACCCTTCAAGCCCGGGCCCCCAGGCCTCCGGGCCGTTCAGGTCTAAGACTCCTGCACGACTCACTCAGAACCAGGAGCGGAGTTGGATGAATGAATGCACGTGCGTTTCATCACCAAACATGGCAAACAGTTGCACGTCATTTCGACATCTCTGAGCTCAAATCTTCCCCCTGTTGAGGCCTTGCGATCACAATTCTTCAAACACGAAGTCCTCCCTCGCAGAGACAGGCATAGAAGAACGCAAACTCAGGCAGGAAATGGAAACGGCATCGATTTTGCTTAATGCACTCGCACAGTCGGCTACTTCCCAAAAGACCCGAAGGCATCTGGGGAAAGGACGCCTGACACCCAACTTGCTCGGCATCCATATCAACAGCTCAGTGCCAACAACAAAAAATCTAGCCCCGCCCAACGCAGCCGTCTGGTCCTTTTGGGAGGCCACGCCCGTACTGGGAGCACGGCCGTCCAGCACCATCCAACTGGTGTGTTTTCCTGGCTCTCGGGGAATCGATCAGAATCCTTTTCGGGGGTGTTTGGCAATGAACCGCTTGGGATCCCTTAACGGACCTACCGGGAACTACGTGGTGGCTCAGGGGTCATTCCCGGCCCTCCAAAAACCATGCGCCGTCCTTTCACTCGCCCTTTAAAACAGCCATCAGTGGGCGCTCCTGAAACGCTGAACTCAAGCCCAAAGAACATGCAGCATATCGGCCCATTTCTATTTGGGGTTCCATAGTGTGTCAGCTCCTGATTCATCCACCCCAGCCAAGGGAACCCCAGGAATCAAAAACAGCATGTATTGCGAACTCAGGGCCCATCAAACCCAAACTCCCTCCCTGCGCCTGTGTTTGTATGGCGGCACATGATCCCTCATATTGCTCGCTGGACTCCCTTCGCTTATCACACCTCCGAACCCCACGCGGGCTTCCCGGCAACTGGAAGGGTCAATAAACACACACCCGGCACGAAGCACGCGGGTGCTGAGAATTGCCTCGAGGTGTCCATGTCTCCTCTTCAAATCGCTCTACTTGACACCTTCCAAAAGGAGTCGAATACTTGCGTGGCATCTTTGGGGACTCCGACCCACGTAGCGGAAGTTTTCGGAAAGGAAGCTTTTGGAAGCCACCAGAGCCGCAGGCAGAAGCCACAGCTCAAAAACCGAAAAATGCGTAGAAACCTATGCCTCAGCTTTTGCCCAACCAAAATACAGTGTGTGTCTGAGTCGTGTCATGTGCATCTTCAAACCTATAAATGGTCCCAACGGCGATCCCAGAAATCTCTCATGGGGATGGCCCCTTCCCTTTTGGCAGATTCTAAGTGAAGGGAGTCGGTCGGATCGGAACCCCGCGATATGGGCCGCCATAAGCCTCGAGCTGCACACTTGGGCATCACCTTTCGCCCGCAGCCACACTTATTGAGGTGCCGGATTCCACAGGTCGCGAATCGGAATAGTGATGGTTCAAACTGTGTCGAAGGCAAACCGAAAGGCCATGGGGTTCCAATTCCCAAGAAGACTGGTCCTGCAAAGAATCAAAAGGCCACCGTTCTAACTGTACCCCCCTCTCCAGGCTCTCCAGAGGGATCCATGTCAGCGACGTGGCCCGAGGGACGGCAAAGTGACAAGGAAAGATAATATGGGTATTGACACCCTGTTCCCTCAGAGTCTCACGCCACCCTTTACACCATGTTCGTTTCACTTGGCTCGAGTTGTTGAGGCGGCGGGGTGCTCTAAAGACCCGTACAGGGAAACTTGGGAAGAGGTGAAAGGACTCAGTGCCAGTTGTCTATCCAAATGTGCTCTTTCAGAGCAAGCCGATATTTTTGTTGAATTTTTAGGGCTGGTTCATTGGCCATGGAGACAAAAAAGCCAGAGCCCCCCTGTGCTGGCTGATTCTAAGCCGCAAACCCTTTCCAAGAGAAGGGCAGTCGAGTTGCCCGGCTTCGCCTTCCGACTCGAGGCAGCAGCCCGGTAGGCCGCAATGCAGCCTGGCCTCGGAGGCATCGATACGCCAGGCAGAACTCGCTTCCGACCGAAGGCCCCTGACTTTGATTTGCCACAGCTTGCAGATGAGGGGTTCCAGGTAACTGGGCGTATCCCAACCAAAAGGACGAGGTATCCCAATTAAAAAGGACGCCAGTGGGCTCTGAAGAAATTCCCAGCTTCGGACTTGTGTCTGTCTCTGTCTTTGCAGCGCTTCGGCAGCTTTCAAAAAAAGGCCAGTTTGCCATTGCAGACTTTGATTCCCGCTGGGTTGGCAACACTTCGCAGAAGCCAACGCGGAACGGGAGCCGTCACTCCTTGGCCAACTGAATCAAGGATCCATATTTCGCTGGCAAAGCAAAACAAGAAGCTTCCGACGTGGAGCATCACTGCATCACTCAGTTTGGACGAGTTATTCCATGGCCAGTGCCTCTGCGCAGCTCGTTTGATCCAAAGCAAACCTAGGCCTCAGCTTCGCCGCGGCCCAGCTCCGCGTCAGGCTGCTCGGAAGCGACGCTGCCAAAGGTCACCAAGCCGAAGCTCGGGAGCTGGAGCATTTCCAGCGGGCCGTCTGGCTCCAGCCTCACCTCGTACAAGTGCGTGCGCTCCTCAGACTCCAAAGCAACGAGTTGAGGGCAGCTCCGACGGCCAACCCACTTGAATTCAGGACGCCCTTTGCCTAGACCTACACCTCCAAGCGACAAAAGCTATTGAACCAGCTGCCGTTATGTAAACGTTGCATCTTGACTAGTTGGCCTGCGTAAGCCGAACAGGGGGGCCTTCAAGGCTACGCATGTTTTTTGCCCCCAGAAATAGAAATGGTTGGATTTGCGGGAAACCGTCTTGGCGGCAAGCCTTGTTTTGGCCCGAACTTGGCAATCGGAGGCAGCAGTTCTGAGTGTAGACAGAGGAGAAACCAATTCCCATGCACTTCGCTGGGGTCGGACAACTTGGGTCTAAACATACCATGCCCTTCAAACGGAAACCTACAAAACTATGTTGAAACAAGGCAGTTCCAAACATGCTTCAAATGGCGTGTCGGCCAACCTGATTTGGGAAGCCCGTCCTGTCGGCTGGTGACCTTGGTCAACTTCTGCTGCTTGCCGCCCACCAAGACCGTGTTGCCCACCCCGAGCTGGTCTGCGCGCTCCGCCTCGCAAACTTCGCCTCGCAAGATCAGCGGCCATAACAATTTTAAGCATGAACCAGCATGGTCAAGGACTTGTCTTCTTGTCGTTTTCCGGGCTTTCGGGCTGAGATCGAGGGCGATGCTTTTCTCGGCAACTTGGAGGTTTATGCGGCCCGTTTTGTGTTTCGTTGTCGCTTGACCGCCATCGTCCTGCTTAACTTTGCCAAACCAAGCTAGGGTTTTGTGGATTGGTTGAAGCCACCAAACCAGGGTTCCTCTTCAAGGTTCAAGGGGCAAGCATGACTTTCAGTGTGTATATAGAGCAGAGGTGGTTAAAGCGACTTTGAACGTATGTTTTCGTCCCTGGAACGTCAAACAGAGTCCATATTGGCTGAACCAGGTTGTAAGCATAGATGCAGTCGAAACATCCTTTGATGATGTGGCCCGCCTTCTGACGCCAATGAAGGTACTGCCACGCGGTGAGACTTGGACACGGTAGACAGCCCCTGGCGCGTAGTGAGCTCCACCAAGTTGTAAGGCTTCTTCTTGGCGCGGTGCAAGTGCATGCCCACCACGGAGGCTTCGGTCTGGTCCAGCAGCCGCACGCGGTCCCCGATCTTCAAGTTCTCCACTCGCAGCAAGTGACTGTCCAAGCCGTGCAAAGCCGTGTTCGGCAGAAAGCACTTGGCCGAGCGGCTGCTGGTGTCCGAATACATGTCTGACTGATCACCGACAAGAGTGAATGAGTCCACTTCGCCTTCCGAAGCCGGGGCACCTGAGCCATGCTCGTGTGATCCCTTGAAATCTCAATCTTTGGAAACCAACAGGCCTGGACCTTCATCAGCTTGAGGACCGCCGTCAGAGCGGCTGCAGGCCTTGGCAAAATCAAAGTGTTTCCGGTCACCTTCAGAACACCCAAGCTCAAAGCCAACGCTTCCCAAAAATGTCATTTTGAGAGAAAACGCGGCCCATTGACACACAGTGACCATATCCGTTTTCTTAAAGCACAATCTCCAGTTGGGGTGCCAAAAAGGCGTCGCACTGCTCCTTCAGCTGCAAGATGCACTGCGTCATCTCTGACTTCTGCGCCTTCTGGGACAGCAAAGCCATCCTCTGCTGCAGAGTCTCATTCTCTTTCTGCAAATCCTCGACTGTCTTCATCTCCTCTGCCTTCTGCCGCGCCAGCTCGTCCAGCCGCCTCTGCAAGTTTTGCACGATCTCCGCCTGCTGCTTCTCCGTCTCAAGCTGCTCCATCAGCAAATCAATCCTCTGGTGCAAAGCCTTGATCTCATGCTGCGCGGACTCGGCTTTCTGCGTCTCCTCTTTCTTCTCCCGCGTCAACAGCTCATGGCGGCGCTTGGACTCGTCCAGCTGCTTCTGCAATTTCTGCTTCTCCTGCTGGATCTCCGCCTTCTGCAGCTTCTCCGTTGTAAGTTCCTCCGTGAGCTGGTCGATGCGGGCTTGGAGCTGCGCGTGGGCGGGCGGCGGGCTCTGCAGGGTTCCAGGCCCGGGCAGGGGAAGCAAGGAGACATTGAAGCCGTCCACCCACTCTGAAGACGTGTACAGCTCCAACTGCGGCTCGGAACTTTCGAAGGTCGCCTCCAGCACCCGCCTCTCCCCGGCCTCCAGCCACAGCTTCCAGCCACAGCTTCCAGCGCCCCGCGGCCTTCTCCCAGCGCAGCCGCACCGCACCGCCGTCGAGCTCGTGCCGACCAGGCGGCCGCCGTCCGCGTAGAAGTCGACCTCCGCCACGAGCCTCGGCGCCGCCCCAGGCCGCAGCTCGGAGAGGTGAGCCACGGAGTGGTAGCTCCAGGCCTTGTGGCGCAGCTCCAGGCCTTCGGCGCCGCTCGCGGGCCACGGCGCCGTGGAGCGGCGGCCGTTCGCGTCCGCCTGCCACACGAGCTCCGAGGGGGCCATGGCTTGGGACGGGTTGAGAGGCGAAAAGGCGGAGACTTCTGAGACGTTTCAAGCCGAAATCTGCTCAAAACGCACTATGAATAGAAACACAGCAGCTTCCGAGTGCCATCAGCTTGCACTTGAAATCATCTAAATCTAAACTGCAGAAGTCTTTGCCCAGCTGACAGCTTGTGCCCCTCTCGTCGCTGGCACGTCAAGGCCCCCGGCGTGCCCCGTGCCCTTTTTGCAGCTGGAAGCCTCCAGGCCAGGTGGAGGGGTCCTCCAAAAACTGAGCGCGGCTCTTCTGGCTCACGAAGAGTTTTTGCTTTTGCTACGTTTGTAGCTCTTACCTTCTCGTGAGGACTATGCCCCGCCAAGATCCATTCCCCCTACTCGCGACATGCTGTCAAATACTTTGAGAAGCTGCGGCTCTAAGGAGGCCTGACGCATGACAGAATGAATCACCGGTCACGGGAACCCTATGCTGCAATGGGTTTGGTCAAGACATTCTATCAAAATGAACTTGTGCCTTTGGTCTCAAGCCAGTTGGCTTGGATATAAGTTGGCTAGCATTCTCACAAATCACGTTGGACATGCTCTTTGACCCACCGTCGTTGGCCCAGAAGGCGACATTCCAAGCTTGCTTTCGGACGTCCAAGCCGGATCCGAAACTGGGCTTTGTCACTCTAAAACCAGCCTCTCGAGTCTTCTTACCATGCGTTCCAGGGACGTGCCAAGAATCTGGAAAGAATGAGTCTGGCAGGATTTCTTTTTGGTTAGAAGGAATGGAGACGGTTCCCCAAGTGAATCTTTCCGGAAAATCACCAAAGCCGGCACCAAAAACACGTGTTCTTCTTTCAAAAGAGCGATTGTGAAGGATGCAAGCGGAATCCATTGCGATTCGGCCAACAGAATTCTCCGGTAGTCTTGGTGGCTTCGAAGGAAAACGCGGAAACTAGTCTGGGGGTCGGGGTGACACCCAAAAGCCCGCGACTTATCGAGAAAGAACGCCGGCCCGGGCCTGCCGAGCTGGGGCGTTCACACCGGTCCGCGTCCTGGCAAAGCAGCTGGCAAGCCGCGAAACGGCAAGGGGAATTTATGAGACGTAAGCAACTCCGGTTAAGTCACCCACGTGTGTTGAAAGGGCACCAAACACGAGCGCCAGTTGTACGAACGCACAGCCACACCTGGGGCCAAAAAAATAGGCGGTGCTTTTCTGGTTCTCCTTTGCGGCAACGCCTTCCGGTAAAGTAGCCGCAAGGACCAGCCCGGCCTTCGTTTTTCCCCCAAACCCCAAACCAACTATTGTTAGACCACACCAAGGGGGTAAATAAGCAGGTTGTGGATGGTAACATGAATATTATCACGATATTGTTTGCTTAGAACATCACATTTTGGAACATCGAAGTTAGTTTCCGTTTGGTGTTTGCTGATGTTTGCAGGTTGGTTCTGGGTTCTTCTCCCAAGAAGCTGGGTCGCAACTCTCACAAAAGGACACTGGGATTTCCGTGGCCTTTCAACTGCTGTTTGATTACAAAATTTCGAAAAGTCCCAGCCGCCAACGGGGTGAAGGCTCTCAACCGGTCGCCTGCCTCGAAGCGCTCGCCGTTGCCAGGTCCTGAGGTCGGCGGTAGACCTGCGCAAGGCGAACGAAAACAGTTGCTAATGCCTCTGGCTGCATGTCTTCAGATTGCTTGTCGGTGCTTGGCTTGGTTTAGAGGCCAGGGGGCGGTTTCCCATTTGCCCACAAGAAGGAGAGGCTCAAACCCTCTAACTTTGGGTCACCTCATGCTTGTCAAAACTTGGGACGCCCTTCCCCCAACAGGTTTCCCGCTGGTGTCCTGTCCGAACAAGCCACACTTGGAGGGTACCCGCAAGATCAATTTCATCTCAAAGGCACCCCCTCCGCTGGGTGCCAAATCCTCCCGCCGGCACGGACGCGCGCGAATTCAAATACATCTTTCATGGGTGGCATAGCTTCCAGAATCTTCTAGGTACCACTAAAAACGGGACCACCTACACCAACCATACTTGCTTCATGATGGGAAAAACTGCAACCACTGGAGTCCAACATGGCCATGGATTCACACAACGTACACATCCAGCGTGTTGAGCACACCTGCTTGACCCTATTTCAGGTGTTCTCGCATCATGATGCGTCCAACCCTGTAGAAGCTGTAGACACCTTTAAGCCCACATGCAATGTGTGAGACTTCCAAAGTCAAACTATGCTGTCTCAAACTACGGCAAACTTGCCGTATTTTGCCTGTCTTAACCCCGAGAGAAACCCATCTAAGACCATCTAAGACATCTAAGGACCCTCTTCTTTGCTTCCCTCCCCCCCCCCCCCCACCCTCCCCGCGGCTCCGCCTCCACGCACGCCGAATCGCGGGATCTCTGCCACTGGATGCCACTGGCAACGCCTCGGCCGCGAAGCTTTTGCTGAAGGTGTTGATCCTAAGGTCGGGGTTGTGGGACCACTCGCAGTTTATCTCAATACAAGGGATCTCCCTCTTACGGCTGGTGAGCCTTTGGGAAGCCCTTGTTGTTGTATCCCAGGAGCGGTCGTTTCCCGCTCCGTCCAAGATCGACCTGGGAAGCGACCCTTGGGAATCAGATCCTCCGCGGTGTTGGGACATGTTGGGACCTCCTAACAGGTCCTAACAAAGGCCACCCGTCCACCGGGGGCAAGACCTCGTGTGAACGCACGCTTTGATTTGGCTCCCCCATGATCAGCAAAAGGAGGGCCCACGTTTGGAGGATAACATGTCACACGTCAAGGGCTCGACCCCCGGACCTCCCCAGGCCGACGGACCCAGGCCGCCGCACCGAACCGCCTCGCCTTGTGGGGGGACGGCCGAACGCCGACGGACGCGAGCCCGGCCGGGCGGAAGCTGCTCCCGAGAAGCACGGGCACCGCCGGAAGCCGCGGACGCCGGCCGCCGGCCGCTGGAGTCTGTGCCGCCGGCCAAAACAACCAGTCGAGCGCGAAAAAAGCGCCTGAAAGTCTAGCCAACACCTCAAAATTCCACCCAGATTGGTGTCAAAACGAGGAAACACCGCTAAATGTGTGGAGAAAGGACCGCTCAAGCGAGGAACCAATCTAGTAAAATCGGAATCGGAGCCGAATCGGGTTTTGGATCGGAATCCGATGGAACGATCACCATCCGGATGAATCCGACGGAATCCAAAACCTGGGTGGAACTAAACTAAACCAATCCGATGGATCGAATACCCGCAAGGCCCAGGCCGAGCCGCCGGGGTCTGCGGCTTGAGATCCCTGAGTTGGATGAATGCAGCTGCGTTTTATCGGCAAACAGTTGCACTCCCCTTGCTGGGGCCTTGCGATCACAATTCTCAAACGAATTCCTCCCTCGCAGAGAAAGGCATAGAAGAACGCAAACTCGTTCAGGAAATCGAATCGCCGCTCTGAGAAGGACAAAAACGCATCGATCTTGCTTCTTTCCACTTTACGGCTCCTGGGCCTTTGAATGCACTCGCACAGTTGGCTACTTCCCAGAAGACCCGAAGGCATCTGGGGAAAGGACACCTGACACCCAACTTGCTCGGCATCCATACCAATAGCTCGGTGCCAACAACGGAAAATCTAGCCCCACGCCCAACGCAGCCGTCTGGTCCTTTTGGGAGGCCACCCCCGTACTGGGAGCACGGCCGTCCAGCACCATCCAACTGGTGTGTTTTCCTGGCTCTCGGGGAATCGATCAGAATCCTTTTGGGGGCGTTGGCACGGACCTAACGGGAACCACGAGGTGGCTCAGGGGTCGTTCCCTCACTGCCTGAGAAGCAAGCTTCAAAGTTCCCGGCCCTCCAAAAACCATGCGCCGTCCTTTCACTTGCCCTTTAAAACAGCCATCAGTGGGCGCTCCTGAAACGCTGAACTCAAGCCCAAAGAACATGCAGCATATCGGCCCATTTCTATTTGGGGTTCCATAGTGTGTCAGCTCCTGATTCATCCACCCCAGCCAAGGGAACCCCAGGAATCAATAACAGCATGTATTGCTAACTCAGGGCCCATCAAACCCAAACTCCCTCCCTGCGCCTGTGTTTGTATGGCGGCACATGATCCCTCATATTGCTCGCTGGACTCCCTTCGCTTATCACACCTCCGAACCCCACGCGAGCTTCCCGGCAACTGGAGGGGTCAATAAGGCGAGTGCTGAGAATTGCCTCGAGGTGTCCATGTCTCCTCTTCAAATCGCTCTACTTGACACCTTCCAAAAGGAGTCGAATACTTGCGTGGCATCTTTGGGGACTCCGACCCACGTAGCGGAAGTTTTCGGAAAGGAAGCTTTTGGAAGCCACCAGAGCCGCAGGCAGAAGCCACAGCTCAAAAACCGAAAAATGCGTAGAAACCTATGCCTCAGCTTTTGCCCAACCAAAATACAGTGTGTGTCTGAGTCGTGTCATGTGCATCTTCAAACCTATAAATGGTCCCAATGGCGATCCCAGAAATCTCTCATGGGGATGGCCCCTTCCCTTTTGGCAGATTCTAAGTGAAGGGAGTCGGTCCGCGATATGTTCCGAGCCAAAAGGCTGGAAAAACCAAACTGGGCCGCCATAAGCCTCGAGCTGCACACTTGGGCATCACCTTTCGCCCGCAGCCACACTTATTGAGGTGCCGGATTCCACAGGTCGCGAATCGGAATAGTGATGGTTCAAACTGTGTCGAAGGCAAACCGAAAGGCCATGGGGTTCCAATTCCCAAGAAGACTGGTCCTGCAAAGAAGCAAAAGGCCACCGTTCTAACTGTACCCCCCTCTCCAGGCTCTCCAGAGGGATCCATGTCAGCGACGTGGCCCGAGGGACGGCAAAGTGACAAGGAAAGATAATATGGGTATTGACACCCTGTTCCCTCAGAGTCTCACGCCACCCTCTACACCATGTTCGTTTCACTTGGCTCGAGTTGTTGAGGCGGCGGGGTGCTCTAAAGACCCGTACAGGGAAACTTGGGAAGAGGTGAAAGGACTCAGTGCCAGTTGTCTATCCAAATGGATATTTTTGTTGAATTTTTAGGGCTGGTTCATTGGCCATGGAGACAAAAAAGCCAGAGCCCCCCTGTGCTGGCTGATTCTAAGCCGCAAACCCTTTCCAAGAGAAGGGCAGTCGAGTTGCCCGGCTTCGCCTTCCGACTCGAGGCAGCAGCCCGGTAGGCCGCAATGCAGCCTGGCCTCGGAGGCATCGATACGCCAGGCAGAACTCGCTTCCGACCGAAGGTCCCTGACTTTGATTTGCCACAGCTTGCAGATGAGGGGTTCCAGGTAACTGGGCGTATCCCAACCAAAAGGACGAGGTATCCCAATTAAAAAGGACGCCAGTGGGCTCTGAAGAAATTCCCAGCTTCGGACTTGCACTCGGCACACTGTGTGTCTGTCTCTGTCTTTGCAGCGCTTCGGCAGCTTTCAAAAAAAGGCCAGCTTGCCATTGCAGACTTTGATTCCCGCTGGGTTGGCAACACTTCGCAGAAGCCAACGCGGAACGGGAGCCGTCACTCCTTGGCCAACTGAATTAAGGATCCATATTTCGCTGGCAAAGCAAAACAAGAAGCTTCCGACGTGGAGCATCACTGCATCACTCAGTTTGGACGAGTTATTCCATGGCCAGTGCCTCTGCGCAGCTCGTTTGATCCAAAGCAAACCTAGGCCTCAGCTTCGCCGCGGCCCAGCTCCGGGAGCATTTCCAGCGGGCCGTCTGGCTCCAGCCTCACCTCGTACAAGTGCGTGCGCTCCTCAGACTCCAAAGCAACGAGTTGAGGGCAGCTCCGACGGCCAACCCACTTGAATTCAGGACCCCGTTTGCCTAGACCTACACCTCCAAGCAACGAAAGCTATTGAACCAGCTGCCGTTATGTAAACGTTGCATCTTGACTAGTACTAGTTGGCCTGGTGCTGCGTAAGCCGAAAAGGGGGGCCCTTCAAAGCTATGTTTATTGCCCAGAAATAGAGATCGTTGGAATTGCGGGAAACCGTCTTGGCGGCAAGCCTTGTTTTGGCCCGAACTTGGCAATCGGAGGCAGCAGTTCTGAGTGTAGACAGAGGAGAAACCAATTCCGCACTTCGCTGGGGTCGGACAACTTGGGTCTAAACATACCATGCCCTTCAAACGGAAACCTACAAAACTATGTTGAAACAAGGCAGTTCCGAACATGCTTCAAATGGTGTCGGCCAACCTGATTTGAGGATGGGCTGTCGGCTGGTGACCTTGGTCAACTTCTGCTGCTTGCCGCCCACAAAGACCGTGTTGCCCACCCCGAGCTGGTCTGCGCGCTCCGCCTCGCAAGCTTCGCCTCGCAAGATCAGCGGCCATAACAATTTTAAACATGAACCAGCATGGTCAAGGACTCATCTTCTTGTCGTTTTCCGGGCTTTCGGGCTGAGATAAGTCGAGGGCGACGCTTTTCTCCGCGGCTTGGAGGTTTATGCGGCCCGTTTTGTGTTTTGTTGTCGCTTGACCGCCATCGTCCTTAATTTTTTAAACCAAGCTAGGGTTGTGGATTGGTTGAAGCCACGGTTCCTCTTCAAGGTTCAAGGGGCAAGCATGACTTTCTGTGTGTATATAGAGCAGAGGTGGTTAAAGCGACTTTGAACGGATGTTTTCGTACCTGGAACGTAGAACAGAGTCCATATTGGCTGAACCAGGTTGTAAGCATAGATGCAGTCGAAACGTCCGTTGAGCAACCCCCCCCCCTGATGTGGCCCGCCTTCTGACGCCAATGAAGGTACTGCCATGCGGTGAGACTTGGACACGGTAGACAGCCCCTGTCGCGTAGTTGTAAGGCTTCTTCGTGGCGCGGTGCAAGTGCATGCCCACCACGGAGGCTTCGGTCTGGTCCAGTAGCCGCACGCAAGTGACCGTCCAAGCCGTGCAAAGCCGTGTTCGGCAGAAAGCACTTGGCCGAGCGGCTGCTGGTGTCCGAGTACATGTCTGACTGATCACCGACAAGAGTGAATGAGTCCACTGCGTCTTCCGAAGCCGGGGTTGCACCTGAGCCATGCTCGTGTGAGCCCTTGAAATCTCAATCTTTGGAAACCAACAGGCCTGGACCTTCATCAGCTTGAGGATCGCTGTCAGAGCGGCTGAAGGCCTTGGCAGAATCAAAGTGTTTCCCGCAGCTCCGCTTGAAGCATGACAGTCACATCCTCGGAAACTAGGTGCCCCTAAACTAGGTGCACCAGTAACATGTTTAATTCAACCGAAAACCTAAGCACTTCAGAATTGATGGCACCTTCAGAACCCCCAAGCTCGCTCACTGTGAGAGAAAACACGGCTCATCGACAACCACGGTGACCATATCTGTTTTGTTTTTTGCTTTTGTTAACACAATCTCCAGCTGGGGTGCCAAAAAGGCGTCGCACTGCTCCTTCAGCTGCAGTATGCACTGCGTCATCTCTGACTTCTGCGCCTTCTGGGTCAGGAAAGCAATCCTCTGCTGCAGAGTCTCATTCGCTTTCTGCAAGTCTTCGATGTTCTTCATCTCCTCTGCCTTCTGCCGCGCCAACTCGTCAAGCTGCTTCTGCAAGTTTTTTGCGATCTCCGCCTTCTGCTGCTTCGCCGTCTCAAGCTCTTCCATCAGCGAATCAATCCTCTGCTGCAAAGCCTTGATCTCATGCTGCGCGGACTCGACTTTCTGTGTTTCCTCGTCCTTCTCCTGCGTCAGCAGCTCATAGCGGCGTTTGGACTCGTCCAGATGCTGCTGGATCTCCGCCTTCTGCAGCTTCTCCGTTGTAAGTTCCTCCGTGAGCTGGTCGATTCGGGCTTGGAGTTGCGCACAGGCAGGCGGCGGGCTCTGCAAGGCTCCAGGCCCAGGCGGGGGAAGCAAGCAGAAATCCAAGCACAAATCCACATGTGCTGAAGGCGCGTGCAACTCCCACTACGGCTCGGGGCTTTCGAAGGTCGCCTCCAGCACCAGCCTCTGCCCGCCCGCCTCCAGCCACAGCTTCCAGCGCCCCGCGGCCATCTCCTCCCAGCGCAGCCGCACCGAACCGCCGCCGGGAAGCTGCTCAACGACCCGGCGGCCGGTCGCGTCGAACTCGACGTCCGCCACGTCCCTCGGCTTTGCCCCGGGCCGCAGCTCGCGGAGCCAAGCCCAGGACTAGTCGGGCGCCTGAGGCCGGGGGCGCAGCTCCAGGCCTTCGGCGCCGCTCGCGGGCCACGGCGCCGTGGAGCGGCAGCCGTTCGCGTCCGCTGCCTGCCACACGAGCTCTGAGGGGGCCATGGCTTGGGACGGTGTGAGAGGCGAAAGGCGGAGACTTCTGAGACTTATAAGCCGAACGCTGCTCAAAACGCACTCCGAGTCAAATCAAAACATCTTCCGAGTGCCAAGATCAACACTGTGCCAACTTGCACTTGAAATCATCTACATCCAAACTGCCAAGTCTTTGCCGGCACTTGCGCGTCAAGGCCCCCGGCCCAAACTGCGTGCCCTGTTTATTGCAGCTGGAGGCCTTGAGGCCGGGCAGCGTAGCAGTCCAAAACTGACCGCGGGGCTTCTGGCTCATGAAGAACTTGTGTTTGCTTCGTTTGACATGACTATAGCTCTGACCTTCTCACGATACGCTTCCATCCCGAACCCGAAAGAAAGTCTGATACACACAACATGGCATCCTACGCACTGAGCTTTGGCTCTTGGGTGGGCATCAAAAACGAATCACCGGTCAAAGGGATCCTATGCTTACCATTGGATTTGGTCAGTACATGTTGCTGAAATGAACCTATTCCTTTGGTCTATCAAGCCAGTTGCTTCTTGGAGTTCCTTTCTTTCTCCTTCCTTGGAGACTGTGTTTTGTTAATGTGAAACTGAAGCGCACATATTTTGGGAGACGCGAATCGTCTCAACGACTAGGATCTGATAGAACTATTTTTAAACGAGAGGGGGTTGTAACCACGACAAAAACGCGATTTTGTCACCATGACAAGGTGCAATGTTCCCACGGCAGAAAAAAAGCGTTACAGCGACATGTTTCTTGCGGGCTGATCCCGACAAGCAAGGAAATAGAAAGGAATAAGAAGGAATGAGAAGCTCAATAAAAAGGAATTAAGAAGGTCAATAGCAAGGAATAAGAAGGTCAATAGAAAGGAAAAAGAAGGAATGAGAATGTCAATAGAAAGGAAGAAGAAGGAATAAGAAGGTCAATAGAAAGGAATAAGAAGGAATAGGAAGGACAATAGAAGGGAATAAGAAGGAATACGAATGTCAATAGAAAGGAATAAGAAGGAATAAGAAGGACAATGGAAAGGAATAAGAAGGAATAGGAAGGTCAATATCAAGGAATAAGAAGGTCAATAAGAAGGAATAAGAAGGAATAAGAAGGTCAATAGAAAGGAATAAGAATGAATAAGAAGGTCAATAGAAAGGAATAAGAAGGAATCAGATGCCAATTGACAAGTATAAAATAATAAGAGGTCAATAGAAAGGAATAAGAATGAATAAGAAAGTCAATAGAAAGGAATAAGAAGGAATAAGAATGAGAATAGAAAGGAACAAGAACAAATAAAAAAGAATGTCAATAGCAAGGAAAAAAAAGAGTCAATAGAAAGGAGTAAAAAGGAATAAGAAGGACAAAAGAAAAGAATAAGAAGGAATAAGCAGGTCAACAGGAAGGAATAAGAAAGAATAAGAAGGACATTGGAAAAGAATATTAATGAATAAGAAGGTCAATAGCAAGGAATAAGAAGGTCAATAGAAAGATATAAAAGGAATAAGAAGGTCAATAAAAAGGAATAAGAAGGAATAAGAAGATCAATAAAAATGAATAAGAAGGAATAAGAATGTCAATAGAAAGGAATAAGAAAGAATGAGAAAGTCAATACAAAGGAATAAGGAAAAAAAAGAAGGTCAATAGAAAGGAATAAGAATGAACAAGGAAGTCAATAAAAAAGATAAGAAGGATTAAGAATGACAATAGAAAGGAATAAGAATGAACAAGAAGATCAATAGCAAGGATTCAGAATGCCAATAGAGATGAATAAGAAGGAATAAGAAGGTCAATAAACGGAAAAAGAAAGAATAAGAAGGAGAATAAAAAAGAATAAGAAGGAATAAGAAGGTCAATAAGAAGGAATAAGAAGGAATAAGAAGGTCAATAGAAAGGAAGAAGAATGAATAAGAAGGTCAATAGGAAGGAATAAGAAAGAATAAGAATTAGAACAGAAATGAATAAGAAGAAATAAAAAAGAATGTCAATTCAAAGGAATTAAATAAGAATAAGAAGGTCAATAGAAAGGAATAAGAAGGAATAAGAAGGACAATAGAAAGGAATAAGAAGTTCAATAGAAAAGAATAGGAAGGAATAAGAAGGACAATAAAGGAAATAATAATGAATAAGAATGTGAAGAGCAAGGAATAAAAAGGTCAATAGAAAGGAAGAAGAAGGAATAAGAAGGTCAATAGAAAGGAATAAGAATGAATAAGAATGTCGATAGAAATGAATAAGAAGGAATAAGAAGGTCACTAGAAAGGAATAAGAAGGAATAAGAAGGACAATAGAAAGGAATAAGAAGGAATAAGAAGCTCAATAAACGGAATAAGAAAGAATAAGAAGGTCAATACGAAGGAATAGGAATGAATAAGAACGTCATTAGAAAGGAATAAGAAGGAATAAGCAGGTCAACAGGAAGGAATAAGAAGGAATAAGAATGTCAAATGAAAGGAATAAGAAGGAATGAGGCCAACAGAAAGGAATAAAAAGGAATAAGAAGGTACATAAACGGAATAAGAAAGAATAAGAATGAGAATAGAAAGAAATAAGAAGGAAAAAAATGTCAATCGAAAGGAATATGAAGGAAAAGGAAGTTCAATAGGAATGAATAAGAAGGAATAAGAAGGTCAATTGAAAGAAATAGAAAGGAATAAGAAGGTTAATAGAAAGGAATAAGAATGAATAGGAAGGACAATACAAAGGAATAATAAGGAATACGAAGGTCAATAGGAATGAGAAGGTCAACAGGAATAAGAAGGTCAATGAAAAGAATAAAAGGAATAAGAAGGTCAATATAAAGGAATATGAAGGAATACGAAGGTCAATAGAAATCAATAAGAAGGAATAAGAATGTCAATAGAAAGCAAAAAAAGGAATGAGAAAGCGAATAGAAAAATAAGAAGGAACAAGAAGGTCAATAGGAACTAAAAAGGAATAAGAATGTCAATAGAAAGGAATAAGAAGGAATAAGAAGGTCAATAGGAAGCAATAAGAAGGTCAATAGAAAGGAATAAGAAGGTCAATAGAAAGGAATATGAATGAATAAGAAGGTCAATCAACGGAATAGGAAAGAGGAAGAATGAAAATAGAAAGGAATAAGAAGGAATAAGAAGGTCAATAAGAATGAATAAGAATGAATAAGAATGTCAGTAGAAAGGAATAAGAAGGAATAAGAAGGTCAATAGAAGCGGGGAGCATTAATTGTCAGGTTGGTTTGGAGTAGCGCGATCGCACTGCCAAACAAGCCAAGAGCTAACTGGACGGCGACCCCGAAGCATAGCCCGCAACCAGTCCTAGTCCATATTGTTGGGTGTGGCTTTGCTTTGTGGAACGGGCCCCTTTTGGTTGGTGTTCTAGGTTGAAACCGAGAACCCATTTTAGGGGTTCTCCAGGTTCTCCTTTAAGGCAAACCCATCCACCTCAAAAGTTCTACCTTGAACCAGCCCAAGGCAACTTTGCCAGCCAAATTTGCCATGTCCCATCAAAAATCATCCAATCAGACAGCTCCTCAAACCGGACGTGATTGCAGCCACACATGGTGGCCAAGCTTTGGTGGTGAGGCTTTGAAGTCACGCAGCTCCATTCAGACCGAAGAGCTGGCGTCAACAGGTTGAGGAGGTGGGCAGTGAGCCATGGGCTTCACAGGACGCTGTCGAGCCCAGATGAGCCGCAGGGCGGGCGCAGCTACAGCTGCTGGTCTTCGGGCAGAAGGTGGTGGTGAAGAAGAGATGGAAGAGGGAGGCGATCACCCAGAACGCGGTCTACGTGGCTGGACCAAAAAGGGTAGCATCCATACCTGGTGCCGGAGCTGAGAGACCTTCTTCAACATCCCGGGCGGAGTTGTGGACCAGGAGGAGAAGGCTGTTTGGAAAGCAGAAGAACGAAGAGGCAGAAAGAAGAAGATGAGCCGAGGCTGAGGTTGAGATGGGAGAAGAGGAGATGGTGGGGCGAGAGAGGAGGCGATGGGAGCAAGATCATAGGCCTGGAGCGAGATGGATTCGTGGGATGGGAAAGACGGCCATCCGTGAGGTGAGAGAAGATTGGTGGACAGATGGGAAAGAGAAGGCGAAGCGGCGCAGAGGGCGCCGGGAAAAGCGGTGTTCGAAGAAGGAAGTGCCGCGCTGTGGTCTGCAAGAACCAGATCCAGGAGGTCGAAGGAGGTTCGGACGTCAGGAGTGGAGGCGGGGACGGTTCGGGCTCGGAAGGCGGCCGCCAAGAAATGGGCGGTTGGCTGCCTGGACATCAGGACAGCATTCCTGAACGCACCGAGGTTGAACCATCGTGTTGTGGTGAGACCGCCGTATGGGCTGAGGGCATCGCTGGCCAATTGGTGCTCGAGATGACGCGAGGTGGAAGGTGGACATCGGAGGTGGACAGGTGGTCTTGCACCAACGAGAAATTGTGGAAGAAGCTGGGCAGTACCACAGTGGGGTTCATTTGATCTGCTGCTACGTGGATGTGGAAGTGATGGCGCACATCAAGAAGGAATGGGATGCCACGGACCTGGAGTGGGCCAACACGGAGAAGCCGCTGAAGTTCTGCAGCGTGTAGGTGATGGTGAAGCCGGCTCTTGGTTGGGGAGGATTACATCAAAGACGTAATCACCATGTACGGGAGTGAGGTGAAGGAGAAGCTCATCCCCATGCATATATGCCTTTTCTTGAGAAAATCAGTGCTCATTTTCCATCAAAGAGAGATCAAAGCCCCGGAATAGCCCATGAATTAAGAAAACAAAGTCCGATCGTCAGAGGGCACTTGTTTCTTCCTAGAAGGGGCAGTGAGAATACATACATTTAGGAAATCCAGAGTTAATAGTTATTGATGATATTCAGACAGTAATATATATATATATTATTAAATAGTATTGATTAAAACTAATGATTTTTAGATAGGAAGAAAAATTAAGATAATCGGGAAATTAATAATTCTTAAGATTCTAAATAATAAAGGAATCTAAAAATGTGTTTATTATTTTTATAGCGTATTCAACTTCATTGTAATATTCAGAATATATATATATAGGTTTAATAGAATTATCTTCATTCCTTATACATTCTTTCTAAAAAAGATTGTTTAATATGTTCTTTACATAAAATCTTATGCAAAAGATATATATATGTAAATATAAGTTAGGATCTTGCTTTAATAAACAAATTATCCGAAATTAAATAATTCTAATCTAAATTTAAATATGTATATATAGTTTGATATATTAAAAATATTGAAAACAGTAATATAATTGCAAAAGTATGTTTATATTAAATATAGTATCGAGATCTGAAAAATTCCTAAAATAATTGAAGTACAGCCAATATCATTTTGTTTTCAAGAATAATTATAAGCTATAGTTTTGATATATTTTATAGCTAAAAGTCACTAAATTTTTGAATAATTTTATAGATCCTAGAAATTATAAGTAGTCGATTTGGAAAGATAATTAATAATCATCTCTCAATTATATTATCATAAGAATACATATAATGATAGATTGTTCTTGATACTTATCATATAAGAATTAAGGATACCAATATTTCTATTATTAAGCTAGAAAAAATGATATTCATATTTAAGATTAAAACGATATTTCTTTTCAAATAAAGGAAAATCCGCCGACATTGTTCGGCGCGTCGGATACTTAATAGAGGATAGAGGATAAACCCCCCCCCCGACCTCTAATACGAAGGTTTTAGGGGGGGGGGTGAGGCCCACTGCCCCAGAAGGGAACTGGTACCCTGTGGTAGTAGAGGTCGTTGATTTGGTCCCTGGATCTATTCCGGAGAGAATCCAATATGCCACTGTGGATGATTGGAGGATGGATTGGTTTTGGTGGATTGTCTTGCCTGCTAAGGTTCTTTGTTCACGCGATCATGAATGATGCAATGTTACACAAAATCAAAAGGGGCCTTGAGCCAAATGTTGCAGGAGATCAAGTGTTCAGTAAACCAAAAACAAAACAGACACAAATTTCTTTTGATCTCCAGCACTAAGTATGAAATACTATTGGCTTCATGGCCTTTGGCCGTAGCCTTGATGTATGCCGTAGCCATGCTGTATGCCGTAGCCATGTGTATTAAAAACGCCGGATTCATCCTCTTTTCTGCTCGGATGAAATGTCTTGGCTTTCGAAATGGAAAACACTATGTACTGCTTCTTTTTGAGATACCTAGATGTATCAAAGGGTGATGTGCAACGCTATGTACACGCGGGACGACTGTGAAACTATTGATCTCTCACTCATTGAATAGTCTTGTAGACGGCGAGGATCAATCATCTGAATTGAGTTCGTGGTGCTGAACGTATGAATCTTCATGGTCAGTCGGATCGACGATACCATCGGCGGCTGCTGTCGGATTGCCTGCCATAGCCTACATAATCATTCCAGGTCAAGGTGCTATAGTCCTTCCACTGCTTCTGATGTCCCCACTGCTTGTTGTAGTCCTTGTACTCCTGCGGGGTCCAGGCTTGTTTCTTCTTGATGTACTCCTGGTATCTCTGAGAGTTGCGTTGCCTGGTTGCAGATTTGCTGCGGATGTAAACCATGATGGACTGTGAGAGTCGGAGTCCTGCGAGCCATTCATGAACATGTCATTGTTCACGCGCTTAAAGCGCTCTGCGGATGAGACCTGGTAATCGAATATGGCCTTGGTTGGATCGTTCCGCATGAGTTCCAGTTGTTCATCATCCATGCCGTTCATCTCGTCCTTCCGGAAAGCCTGCTGGATGTTCGTTTTGCCCCATCCAAATACGAAAGTCATCATCACATCTGGGAATGTTCGATCATATCCTGATCCACACTTCATGTACAGGTGATGACGGACAATGGATTTCAAGGTGCACGAAGTCTCCATTGCATACTCTATTCTGTCCACGAGTCATTCCACAGTCTCTGATATGCTCTCATGAGGATGTTCACGAGACCGTTGGCCGGATTGAAGACGTGCTGGAGTTTGCTGTAGGTGTTCGCTGATTTGATTCTGAAGATCTTCCCGTGCTGCTCCATGGCTGATTGAAGGATGAATGTGGAAAACTCCAATGGTAGCGCTGCCCTCGTTATGTGGCGGTCGTCATACTCGTGGAGTGACTTGTTGGATGATTTCGGGATCATGCCACGAAACTCATCACTCTGCTCGATATGGAGAACGACGATCTCCTTGTCTCGGCCATGTCCTTGGACAATGGTGCGTGCTGGCAATCTCGGTCCAATGTACTTCTGGATTCAGTAAACATGGATGGTCCTGTAGTTGCCAAGCAATCCGAGGTCGGAATTTCGTATTCGGGATCAGTGCAACTTCCTTCGGTTCCGAAGAAACATCTGAACATTCCGAATGTGGTTCCCCAATTCTGGCTCTTGGTGGAAATCTGTCTTGCCAGAAGTTCCACTCTTGCAGAAGGTCCGCGGACAAAGCATGCGATCGGTCTGGATGACCATTGCTTGATCACGATGCCCTTGTACCCGAGTCGGATGAACGTCTGGATGAGCTCCCTGGATTTCTCATCATTAGGACTGAAGAATGCGTCTGCTTCATTCAGGCATAAGATGTGTGCACTGTTCTGCATCATCATCTTCACGATCGGTCGATCCTTCATCGGCATGTTGTACACCTCCCTGTTGTCCAGCTTTGGATTCCTCGTGAGGCTTCCGTGGTTCAGGGTAAGCATGTTGATCGCTATGGATGAGGTGAACTCATGCATCTTGAGATAGTCCACAGGAGGACGGTCGGTCGGTTGCATCAGCGATCCCAGGATATCGGCATAGGCTCGGGTGATTTCCGGGTCATCATGTGACCTAAGCTTCTTCAATCCAAGTGGAAGCTTAATCGGATATCCGGATCCTGGTTGAGCTTGCTTGTACTCGTCCATGGTGGGACATTCCCCTTGATGAGGGAAGTAGAAATCTTCTTCTCCGAGATTGACATCGGGATCGACATGCGCCAATGAGGCTCTCTCGCACTCTGTCAAGTTGGGATGAGCTCTTCTTGGATCTTTGTTGTACTTGTTCATGAAGCGGAGGAGGTTTGCCTTGGTCTCCGCGAGCTCTTCCTCTGCGTCCTTTTTGTTCAAATCTGTTTCGAGATAGATTCTCTTGAGTTCTTGGATGAACTCGTCTAGGTTCTCTGAATTGTGATATTCTACGGTGACCTTTGGCTTGACGGATCTTTCCCCGGAGGGTTCCATGGTATCTTCTTCAGCTTCGTCCTGATCGGTGGAATGCCGTCTCTTCTTGGTCTCTGAGGAAGTATCTTTTTCCTTGCTGTGCTTTGTGGAATTCACATAATTGAAGAAGGCATCGGCAAATTCGCGGATCTTGGTGTCGTACATCTCGTAATCTTCTTCATGATCCACTTGTTGCTCGCCATGAGGCTGCCATCAGGTTCACATGCTGCAACAATGTTTCTTGCCTCGATGGTTTTGTCTGTCAACGCTGTTCGCTCTTCGGAGAGTCGGATGCCATAGTCTTGGTCCTTGAGGAATGCAAGGATCAACAGTGCATCTCTTCCTGCTGGCACATGGGTCAATGCGGCTTCTGACTCGTCGTCGTCAAGGATGACGTCATCGATGCATGCCATGTGGACGTGCGTTCTCCCCGAAGGGTTTGACTGGGGTTTCCCAGATTTGAGCCCGTGCTCCATGATGCTGAAGAGCTGATTTCCATAGGTTGCATGGAACATGAATGTGATGGGCTTCTTCGCGATTTTTCTCTCTTCTTCAATGGATGGTGGCGCCGGCCTTAGCATTCGATGCTTGGGCTGAGCCGTGCTTTCGTCTTCATGAGGCGCCTCGGATCTTGACGGATGCGGACTTGGTGGAATGGATTCCGTTGGGAGATCATAGTCCGGTTCGTCGTGTACAGGGTCGTCCAAAGGATTGGATCTCGACTTGTCGTGTGTGTCCGCTTTTGCATCTCACATAGAACTCCATCTCTGGATCGACATAGAATTCCTTGCCATCGGGCCTGAGTGCATTTTGTGCGGATCTTGTGGTGAGCTTGTCGATCCATCGATTCCTTGGAACAATTTCTCCCCGTGCCTTGCGCTCATTAAATGACCCGTCCACGGATGGAAAATACGAATGCAATTTCGGAACGTGATTTTCCATAGCTCGGGAACATAGCCATCAAGAGAAGTCCTGGCTTATTTCCAATGAAGTTCCTGGCATGTGTGATGCAGGTCTCAGGACCCACGTCCACTTGTCGTCTGCATTCCTTATGGATTCCATGCCTTGGATCATGCCGAAGACATCCGGAAAATGATCTGCTCATTCTCTCAATTTGCCAGAGGATGAGATCTGTGATCTGTTTCGCCTTGGATGGATCCATGCGGAAGTATTTGCAAACCTGTTCGACATTCTGGACGGTCTTCTCGAGATCAATGTTGACTGTGGCATACCATCGGGATGATGTCGGTTCCGTAAACTTCGGATTGAGCATTGGTGTAGCAGCAGATGCTGTAGACCTTCTTGATGAAGTCCATGTATGGCTTCTCCGTATGAGGTCCTTCACCTTGGAGTGTTGGCTGCCAGTAATCGTTGAATCTGGCCTTCAACCAGAATAC